TATAACTCTTATTGTGTTGTATTGGTTAAAACATGACTACTAATTAATATTCTTTTTACACTTGATGAAATTCTTTTGGTGGCAATTTTGACGTTTTGGTGTGTTAACTAATAAGTCGTCATGTTAACCTTGTGGTGTAATATTTTGAATTTTTAGTATTTTTCTTTTAATTCAAAGGTGCCCATCTTAAGAGAGTTGTTTCAAGTGTAGTAGATGTATTATTTCATTTTGTTGCACTTGATTGTTCTTACATAATTCAATTTGTTTATTTTGGCTTTTGTATGAAGAAACTAATATCGGTTTCTTCATATGAGGAATTATAATTCCTAAGATATTATCTCTTTTGGTGTTGTGCCTATTAAATTTCCACGTGACGCCAACATAAATCTTGTGAAGAACAATGGTCCAAGTGTGCTTCAAGAGCTCTAAGTACTTAGTGGAGGCATGAATGCACATTAAATCCTAATAGTGAACTTTGGGTTGCTCTTGTCGATCATTAAGGTAACCTATAAAGGTACCATGAAGGTATGTTTATATATTTATTTCCTCCAAACTTGATTATGTTTTGATTTTAGACTTAATCTTGGCAGGTGGGAGTTATGACTCTATGAGTTTATAGAATTTCCTTGTAGGAACTTAGTTCTTATGTGCCCCATGTAAAATGTATAGAGTTTTTCATGTCAAAATTCAATACATAGCAGAAGACGTTTGTCGTCCAATGTGGGGGAAAATGATGAATTAGTGTTGGACTCAAAGTCTTGGGTTATGTATTCTTTGATTATGGATTTTAGCAATTGAATTCATATTGTATGACTTTGAATGTGAATATTGGATTAAATTCATGTCCACTATGACATTTATGCTTTACTAATTAACTTGGTTTTAGCATGTTTGTGTATTCACGCCATGTTTGAGTGACAAGTGATTGGCTATGCATGTGAGAGTAATTATGTCTCTTGATTGATTTATTCCCTTCTTATGTATTTCTTTTGTTGATGATAAATAATTTGACTATAAGAGGAATAAGAGGCATTAATATTAGATTTCTCTATTATTTGATGCAAAGCATGAAAGTGACTAATTATGCTAAAGACAATTATTTGTTTGCCTTGATTTGTTGTTTTGATATCTCTACGTTTGAAGAGTGTTTTCTTAACTTAATAAATTGATGACGTGAGTGATTGTTTACCTTGGAAGAAATTATTGAGGATAAGTTAGTCATTTCTAACATGCTTAGAGTTCTCCTATCTTTTTATGGAGTGTGTTTCCTAATATTTCTTCTAAAGTTTTTTCCGATGTCAATTCACTAAGTGTTATTGGAAGTCATTAAGGCTAGACTTGTGAGTAAAGGGTTGTAATTAAAAAATTGTAATTTTCTTGTCTTAATGAAACAATGGAGGTCTCACTTAGTTGACTTAATTATTTTGGATCCTTGTCCTTGATGATAAGTTTCCCTCTAGTGGCTGAAGTTTGTTAAGCTTTCTAATTGATGACTTAAGTGAGTTGATTGGGAAGTTCCTTGTTGAAGATAAGAAATGTGAGTTGAAAGTTCAAGTGTGAGTTGACTTGAGACTATTACCTAGTAGGTGGTACAAGAGTTTGGTTAGTACCTTGTGAGAATCTAATACTTGTGATTAAGTTTGCTTCTCACTACTTTCTTCAAGGTAATATATTTTTTGTGTTATTTCTACAATGTGATGGTGGTGTTGAGAATCACATGTGTAATTGTAGTTAATAATTTTCTTGAATTTCTTAACTTTCCAACTTGTTAAGCAATTTTCACGAATTTGAATATGACATGTGTTTTATTATTTTGAAAATAATAAAAATTATTATGAGTTTTTGGTTTTTCCAAAGTGTCATACATGTTTCGTGATTGGAAAGATTTTTGCAATGATATAATATTTGTTGTTCATGTCATCATGTGAGTGGAATATGTTTTATATTAGCATGAATTATGTGTACTTTAAAGAGGTCTTAAAGTATGTCTTGAGTGGAGTATACTAATACATTTAGCAATGTGATAGTGACATGCATTTCAATTTATTTTAACATAGCATCTATTTGTGAAATACTTGATAGATGTTTTACAAATTTATAAGATAATGTTTGAGTGGTTTAACCTTGCTTCATATTTTCAAAGTATCTTGCCAGGTACGAAGATTGTAGAATGCACTAGCTTTTGGCAAAAAATACTTGGAATTTTCTGAAAGCAAGTGATTATGTTGGGGATTGATGAACATTGTTCTCTAATGTGGCTATATATGTAATTTTCAAGGATCATACTTGATTAACTAAGATTCAAGTTGAGAAGACGTCTCGCTCGTTGATTCATTCATCTAAAGATGAACGTGAAATAATTTCCTAATTATTTGTGCATACAAATCAAAGTTGATTTTGATAACAAGCTAGCTTTCCTTATTGGAAAAACATTCTAGCAAAGAGACTTGTGCACTATGATAAGGAAATTAAAGACATGATTGTCACAATCCTTGATGATTTGTTGGAATGTCGAGGGGGATAAGCCTTAAACCCACATGGAAAGATAAAAGCATTATTTTCCTATCCCTATGGCATGTGTTGTATAATGCTTGGTTGAGGTTGAGTCTCTTTGAGCTCTTAATGGATCAATAAACCATTTAGGTTGGTGTTATTTGAGACGCACTTGATTGATCCACCATTTGAGGTTGAGTCTTTAGACTCTTAATGAATCCAAATGTTTGAGTGGACGCACTAAAACTTTAAAATCACCATTGTTTATGATTGTTGTGAGGTTGAGCATTATGCTCTTAATGAATCCATGATCTTGTGGGGGTTAATAGCTACAATGAAGCATTTGTTTAGTTCTTATTAACATGTCTTAACCCCATTGACTAAGTAATATCGAGTAGTGCTTGTGATTCACCTATGTGGTTGTGAAGACTAGCCATCTTCTATGGGAAATTTGGGCGGGTTTCCTAGAGCATCCACTAGACCTAAGGTGAATATGCGTGGCTATAAAAGAGCATATCTCTTCGTGGAGTTCAAGTAAATTTTGGAGAAAGGTATGTGATGCGGGGGTCTTGAATTAAATCTTGGAGTTTCAAGGTTAGTCCACTCCTTGATCAAGACTCTAAGGGTTTCAAGGTTTGTCCACCCTTATGCTTGTAATTCATTGCCTCATCTAACTAAGCGCTAGATTTCAAATTTCATATGTAATATCTAAGCGTTATGTACTAATCTCCTCTTATGCCCAATATGTTGCTTCTAATTATTTTTGGCCTTTTTTCCCTTCCTTTAGTGGGGGATTGTTGTGTTAAAGGAAGGAACACAAATATTATATTGTTAAACATCAAGAAGAAAAAGTGTTCTGGTGAAAATCCCACATGCCCTGGCTGCCAGGGCAAGACCACCCTGTAGAGCGGAAGAGGATGGAAAGATGTCTTCAAGGAAATTGAGAAATCCCAAGTGCCCGGGCAGACCGGACAAGCTCGCCCTGTCAGGCGCGAGGTGCAGCTTCAGGCTGGGCTTGCTCACCTAGTCGGGTGTGCCCATGCCCGGTAGGGCACGCGGGATTTCCGAGGTTCTTGGACTTCTTTTGGTCTTCTTCTTGAATTCCTTTCTTGTTCTAGCTTGATGCTTTGTAACCCCCACATTTAATTAAGAAGATGATTAAGGTGATTAAATCTTCATCTTTATTCTGATTTATTCACCCCTCATTGATGCTTGAGATTCTTCTATGATCTTCCATATTCTTCCATCCTCCTCTATAAATAGAAGAATCATTTTCTGATTTTGACACACTTGAAAAATACATCAAACACAATAGCTTAAACACATTCTCTATTGGGCATAAGTTACTTGACTCCAACCTTCCACCCAAAAATACCTTTGTGTGGAAGTGGTGTATTAACCTTAGGGAACGTGCCGGCGAATACAATTGAGCACCTTGGTTGCGCCGAAATTTCATTTTCAAGTCAGTGATTTACATCACGACACACCGATCATGTTCCATTGTTATAAGATCAACTTTTCGATCTTATTGTTTACTTCTTATTGTAGCCTTGAAATACTTCTTATATTACAACAGACTCCACCCTAGTCCCGCCTGGTTCCCATGTTTAACCCAAACAAAATCGAAGCCTGGATTATTAGACGGTTCTTCTGCTTGATGATGCAATGCTTCGAAGGAATTGCCTCACCCTTAAAAACTAAATGCAAATGCAAATAATTGGTAATCTTAGCATCCTTACTAGGTGTCCCATTAAGTAATCGTGAAGATAATCATCCTTTTACTCCCCATACCATCCATGCTATAAAAAAGAGATTGTTGCTTTCATGTTAGAGTTAATTTTATTAACAACACCAAAGAACCCTACTTCTTTCAGGCCGGTAAACTACCTCAGAAAAGGAAGTTCCCGCAGCGGCCTTTTTTCTTGAGTTTACCATCGGTATCAGGAAACGTAAGGACAGCTTAAGTAAAGCTTTCTGCATAGTCTCTTGTCCTCAAGTATAGGTCTATAAGATTGATGGTAAAGGAAAGTGCATGAATTCTTGGGAAAAAGGAAGCGAGCCTATATAATGATAATGTAAAAAAGAAAAATTCCAATAATAATAATAATAATAATAATAATGATAATATTGCAAGAGATAACACAATAGTGTATTGTTATCGGATTTTTTTTCTTTTTCTGGACGAGATTGTTATGAGGAAATTCAAGTTTATCTCCGTGATAAACAAGTTATGAATTTGTTTATCACGGGGACAAAAGTGTAATATTTACGGTGAAAATGGGTAAAACGCTACTTTAGATAGCGGTTTTGCCGTAACACCTACTTGAAGTTGCGGTTTATCCCAAAACCGCTACTTAAACCGCTACTTCAAGTAGTAGCGGTTTTACTCCGTGATAAATGAAATTTGTTTATCACGTAGAGTAACTGGGGCAGCCTCGATTATTATTGATTCTTCGATCCAAATTGTTTTATATTTATCACTTTATTATTTTTAATGCTATTGCAAATATCATATGGCTGTTTTGTTATTAAATTAACTTCTACATTCGGTAACAAATATTACAGCCTTTCATCAAATTATCCTCCCTGAATGGTGGATACTTCTTCCTTCGTTGCAAATATACATTAGGGGTGATGGAAGATAAAACCACAAAAAATTACTCTTGTTCTAGTTTCATTTCAATTCTTACATAAATATTACTGAACCATGTACAAAACATTATACCTAAGAAAACAAAATTTTCTTCACATGTACAAGCACTATACACTAGCTTCTGAACTGGCAAGAGAGGTAACTTTGCTGCTCCTCTGTGATCGCTTCGTTGCTACAAGTGGAGCACCCTCTTCCTCGTCACTTGGAGGCCGAATATAAACCTCACCACCCTTGAAGATTGGATGTAGATAAGCATCACATAGGTAAGTTCTTATGTTCAGCATTGGATCTGTTGCCCGTTCTAAGGTATCCTTCATCATTGCTTCCTGTGTAACACGGTCAAACACATTTGTTGAGATTGATCAGAAATCCAAACCCAAACACACATGCAGACTCCTACGATATGGGGTTGTTTTGATTGAAAGTGCGTAGAAGATAAGACAAATTATCTCTCCAAGATTTGGTGAACTTGTGAACCACTTAAGCATTACACTACATACATGGATCTGTCAGTAGCGTAGGCATGCGTACGCACAAAAGTTTATCAGGGAAAGAACCATTTATCATTAATAGTGCTGCAACTATCGAAAGCTACATTTTTCAAAAGTTTACTGTATTTTAAACTCTTCTCGGGTAATATATAGAGATCCCCATACATATTTAGATTATTAAACAAACAACTAAAACCTCGAAAATTGTGGATACCAACTAACATAGTTTATTAAAGATTTTAATGGTGACGCCTGTAATTAATATTGTCTACAACATCTTCCTTTGTGGCCCCCTATAAACCCAAAAAATCAAAATGGTTTTTATATAAATTTGCATACTTACTAAAGTACTATCCACAGCCACAGGGCATTAAAAAGTCGTGCCAATATCCAGGTATCTTAAGAAAATAAACATTATAATACTGGCACTGTTCGATTAATAACACTTACCTGTAATGGAAACCTGGTAAATGCTGATTCAAAACGCCCTTTGCAAACTCTATAGAACCAAATTGTCAGTACTGGGAGGGCAATTAAAAATGGTGTTGACATCCTTACACCTTTTGTGTTCAACAGTCCTAGCAACAAAAGCTGTGATATAACAAGACCAATAATTATGCGCCGATGTACGTCAGGCCAGAAAGCCGCTGCACTTTCATATTTCCGATCGTAGACATTGATAATCTAAAAACAAAGGAAAAGCCATCAGCATTCATCAACGAGTACGATATCAGGGTAGATACGTTCAGATTGTAATGAAGGTTCTAAAAGATTGTATGGGGTAAAACACAGAAAATGTTTTCTTCCAAGCACGATACTTCCAGTGCTCACAATATTTCAGGAGAAGTTGAGGAAAATAAGCAAACACCGAACAATGAACGATGAAAAAATACAAGATACATCAGCCAAAGTCAAATGTAAGAGGAAATAACTGAAAAATTCAACAGCCAAAACAGGGTGGAACCATTAAAGTGCATTGGTCAAGATATTTATGCATACTATTAAAATCAGCCTAATCGATACATAGCAAATCCTGAGTTGATCCAAAAATAAGATAGAGAGTTTTTTTTTTTTTTTTCCTCCTACAGCATAAAGCTCTCTATAATCATTTCCTATTTTGCACGTAAAGGATACTTTATAATTTTCCTTTGTCAAATAGTAAGTAAAGGGTACTTTATAATGTTCCTTTGTCAAATCGTACGTAAAGGGTACTTTATAATGTTCCTTTGTCAAAGAGTATGTAAAGGGTACTTTATGATGTTCCTTTGTCAAGGTATATGCATGTGAAACCTTCCTCAAAAAAATGTATATGAATATTCCAAGTTCTATGACAAGAGTACCTACAAAGCGCAGTAGGAGAACAATTAACTATCTAAGTTGATACAATAGTTAAATAACATTATTCCTTTTAACATGAATAAACTTAAGGCACCATACAAGTGATACGGCATCAAGTATATATCATTGCACAAGGAGTAATAGTTTCTACATGCTGATGAGTCAACTGCATGAAAAATGAAAAATAAAACTAAAATTATTGTGGCAAAGTACTGATCAGACATGTGACTAATGAGAAAGGCATTGCCATATATTTTTAAAAAGGCCTCTATTTAAAAAAAGCATTGCCATATATATTAAATAACAGCCTCATTTAAATCATTACCGGATTTCAATTTTTCAAAAAAATCAACAGGTTTGAGGGAACTAGAAAAAGTTAATTATGTTTTCAGTAGTGATCAGATTTAATCATTAACAAGAATAGAACCATTTTAAAGATAAATCTCCAAATTTTCTTACATAAAATCACATCACTATATACAGTTAATGGAGTATCTCGCTTCTGTTTCCACTTGAAAATCATACGACCAACCCAAATTCTGCAAAGGCTCTCAAACTATGAAAAGAAACCAGACATGAAACTCTTTTATATCACATTGACTGCATATACTTGTGTGCCTCTTAGCAGGAAAAAGAGCATACCTGATGCCGAAAAACAAGGTAGGCAAACGCAAAGAAGACAATGATGAAAGGAAGAAGTATTGGGGTGACTGCACAGTAAACTACTCCAAGCAAAAAGTAAAGTTGAATCCGAGGCTCATAAACAGAAAAGTCAAGGAATCCAGGATCCATTGCTTGCTCCCTATCCTTTTCTGTTTTAACTAAGAATGTATTCTTTAAATGGAACATAACTAGAGGAACTACTCTGAGGACTTCTGAAGCAACACCAGCCCATCCATCCACCATAATGTAAGTTATAAAGAATGTGGCCTTCATGGGCATTGATGCCCCAACGGTTTTTGGAATCCTACATAAAAAAACACCATTAGATTATGCGAGACAATATAAGATGCCTCTAAATTGCTGTTGCAAATTACATAACTCAACCAACAATCTTGCATTGTCTCATAATAGTCATAAATGATTAATGAGGATAAAAGAATAAAAGAAAATATAGTAGGTCAAATTAACAAGTAGGCTATTATTTTGAAAAAAGGAAATCAAAAGTAATAATCCAATATAAAAGATTATCAAAAATAATTATTTAAAACAAATTAATGTATAATCAGAATTTAATTTTTGTTTTAAGAAAAAGCCTATTTTGTTGAGAAAGGAATTTAAGAAAGTAATAGTTTCAATTTAATTACAAAAATTATTAAAAAAATAAGTAGTGTAAAATCTGAATTTTTAATAATAAATAATAACTTTAGGATGATTTGAAGAATAAGCCTAAATACGTTCCAAACTTACAATTCACCCTAACCTTCCTTTAGAGGTATGATCTATGATGGGATTGCAACATTCATCTTAGTAACAATAGGTCTTTGACAACAGGCTAAAGAATTCAACCAAAAATGAAAAGATAAATTTGGTTTTGCGATTTAACTTAAGGCTATATCACAATTTGTCAAAATAACTGATGCTAGCATGAAAACAATGAATGCACAACATCCAACCATTCAAAGATAATCTTTATCAAACATAACTTACTCGCTAGGGGGCTGATGCAGAAACGTTTTGAGCTGTTCAAGTGCTGTTCCTGCAATTATACTTATAAGGAACACATTTACAAGTATAAACAAATGATATTTCCTTGCAGATACTCTCTCCAAAGATGAGAATGAAGTAAAGCCTTCTATCTTGGACATAAACATTATAACCATCGGAATGAGTAGGAGGAATATCTTCAGTATAATTCCAGGCAAATATCCTTGGATAAAAGACTTGACAACATCCCTGAAAGAATTAAACATAATTTAGAATGCCCATTGAGTTATATTATGTATACCTACGAAAATTTTTATGCAAAAAGTCATACTTAAGGTAAAATGAAGAATTTAACATAGGCAGTAGCAGACTAGCAATTCTCACAATATTATAAGTCGCTGTAGCAGTTCTCATATTGGCAAATAAAACGGGACAGAGGTAGTTAAAAATTGATTATCAAATGAACTATATAACAACTGTCATTTTAAGGAGGAGAAAGTACTTAAAATCTTCAATTCTCATTCACATTGCCAAGAAACAGTAAATGATTTAATTTTCACTGTAAAGGAATAGCAGATTAACAATAATCTACAGTTCAATAATCAAAGCATCAGTGTAGAATGCACAAGTAAACAATGTGACAGATAAAAACAAAGATAATCAATAGCAACAAAATGACTTACTTTTCAATTAAATGCTTAAGAAAAGGGAAAACCTTCTCGATTCCATTGATGTTGGCAAGTGATTGAACAAATGTTATTGGGGCCATATAAAAAAATATGAGGAGAAAAAGGGCAATAGCCATAAGTAGCCTTCGTATCTTGAGCTCAACATAAGGTATTGCAAGATTATCCCAGTAAACATCACTTGGTTCAGGAGCCCATTCTGTTAACCATATGGTAGGATTTCTTGTTTGTTGTGTTTGAGCACAAACAGCAGCTCCCCAACGACTTTTAAATGAGACAAATGCTGCAGGTAATATAGCTTCTGGATCACTTAAAACTCGTGCTCTCTCTGCAGCTTCCTACATGAAATAAATCAAATTAATTAGCATATAGGTTGTAGGACTAAATTATGATGTAGGACTAAAATGTGATCAGTTTCTCAATATATAAAAGGATGACTAAATCATGATCAGTTTTTTGAAATAAAACTGTAACAGATTAGTGAATAGCTGATAATTGATTGCATTAGCTAGTTAGACTAGTTGATTTTATTAAACCTGGTGATAGTATGTAATATTGTAACATTAACAGATAGCTAGTTGACTATTTTAACTTTTACAATCATATACAGACATGGTTACATATTACTTGTAATGAGAGAGAGAGAGAGAGAGAGAGAGAGAGAGAGAGAGAGAGAGAGAGAGAGAGAGAGAGAGAGAGAGAGAGAGAGAGAGAGAGAGAGAGAGAGAGAGAGAGAGACGTGAATGATCCTCACTTAACTATATCATAAATATTTTTTTCCTTAATAGTAATAATTGATTTTAAACACACTTAATAGAGTTTAATATAATAGAGTTTGTGTTTTATTATTTTTTTTTATAACAATTTCAGCTAATTTGAGAGTATATATCGAGACAAATCTAACAAGATCACATAACTACCCTGACGTATAGAAAAACAAAAATTGTCTAAAAGGAATGTGTGTGAATCGTGTAAAATTTAGATGTTACGATATATATATATATATATAGAAAGTAATAGTTTTCATGAATTAAATTTTATTAAAAAGATAATTCCGACACTATATTCCTCCAATTACTTTGAGTTCTATCATATTTCAATTAATCCCTATTATGGTAAAGAAAATTACCTATTTTACTTCACATACCCCATCACATGGGTTCACTTAATAAATTAAATAATCTCTCTTTCCTAGCCAATTTTTTTTAAAAAAACGGGACTCAGTTTTGACTAAATCCCTTGTTCTAACATTTGAAATGAATGGAGTATATTATACTGAGCATTATAGCATAAAAAGTTAAAAGTACTTTTTATGGAAATTTTAGGTTATATGAAACTTGCTATAAAAAAAAATATACATACTAAGTTCACATACATTTGATTACTCTATTAAATTGATTAGAAGTCCAACTACAACATTGACTAGCAAATATATTTCTTATCTACATGCATGACTAATTTCACATCAACAACAAAGTTAAATAAGTACAGATTAATTCAGATATGGCAAATTCTTTTTAAATAGTTATATGGCAAACAAGGATCAATCTCATACCCACACACTCGATATTAGACTATTCTATTTATCTTAGTTAAATAAGTACAGATTAATTCAGATACAATAACATCAAATAAGTAGATATAAATTCATACAAGTAAAATTTAGCTTAACAGAATGCATCCTTGGGAATGTTCATACCCAAAGTATAGATGTTTGGGACTTGGGTAGATTAAATTAGACCTAAAGTTGAATATTGTCTAGAAAAACAGTTAGGCCTTCAAGTCTTTCCTAATCCAAGAAATAAGGTTACGATGGTAGCATTAAAATAATACTCCCTGTCCCACGTTTGTTCAAACACAATAGCATTCAAATAGTTTTCCCTCCGTCCCATGTTTTTTCAAACACCTCTCGTTGCATAAACATTTAGGTGATAAGTTGTAGTTAGATCATCAACTTTTTTAATAAAAAAAATAAAATTAAAAGTAAATGTTATAGGTTAATTACATGAGGCAGGTGTGAAAAAGTAGTGGACTGTAAAGAAAGTTAAGATATACTACCTAGTACCTACATACGCTTTTCATTTTAGTCCATTTTAGTCTACTCCTAAAGTTCTCTACATTTTTGTTCCTATCTATTTTTGGCAAACCTCATTAATACCCCCCCCCCCTCTTTTACCTAAGGTATTGTGAAACATAAAATATTTAAAAACATTTTGATATGGTAGAAGTTATACTGAAAGTAGATGTCAAATGTAAAATAGTTTTGACTGTTTGTGGCCGACTTTGGAAGATGGTTTAAAGTACACCATTGTTAATTTTAAAGCATATGTTGGGAAAAACAGTAAACGACATCAATCTGATTATTAAGAACTAAATCAACTGCTTTGACTAAGCGTAATCCCAAAGGTCAGAACCTCTAATTCTGGCCCAAAGAACATATTCACAAGTTGCTAGTCATATCACCAAGAGAAGTCGGGACCTCAAGTTATGGCCCAAAAATTCACAAGAAGCTAGCCTCAAGGGATCAGAAAATAGTATTCTCTACAAATTTAGAAAAACCAACTTAATCTAACTTCCAATAATTTACTGTTCAAAATTCCATAAAAATTTAATGAGATAACTACGATACATTTTTAAAAAAAATTGTTTTAAGTATAGGGGAAAGTATAAAAGGATCTAGCTTTAGCAAGACAATTCTTTCAAATTAAAAAGATTAAATTGTAGATAGACGTGGAAGATTAAAGGAGAGGTTACAGAAAAAAAGAAAAGGAGAAAATGTCAAGACCAACGCAGGAAAAATAAGTTTGAAAGCAGTAAAAGACAATTTGAGAACTGATGAAAAAGAGATATAGCCAATGGTCAACCACAACCATTGTGGTTATCATTTATTTTATTCATTTCTCTCTCTTCCACCTCAATTGTAACCACTCTTATAACAATTTTATAACTCATGTATCCTATGGTTATACATTAAAAATGCATCTTGACCATTAAAAGGCGTTCCTTTCAAAGGCACGGTGCCACATGGCACTCTTCAAAGTATATGTGCCAATGTCACAATGCTACATCACTATCCAAAGTATATGGGCCACGTAAGCTTGCCACTTCATTTAACAAAATAAATAATGCTTTGAACTAGATTTGAACCCGTAACCTCCAATACATAAAGGTAATACATTTACCATCTCAACCAACTTTTATTAATGTTTTAAATTTCACATAATATTATATATTCCTTTCATTTATTAAGTACATTAGAGGTAATATAATCCATTTATTACAAAATTAGAATATAAATACATGAGGTAAAAAAAAAAAAAAAAAGTGACACCTGATGCAACACCCACACCACACACTAACTATACAAGCAGTCGAACACAATCATCAAATTAAAGAAGTACACAAAATAGCAACTCGGGGCATTGTCCGAGCCACACACTAGCTGATCATTATAATGTGTGTCAACTCCTTACATTGCCACATCATTAGCAATTAAATGGGTGGAGAATCTTGCAAAAGTGGGAAGAATATTTTATTCAATAACCATGTTTTCTCACCCCTCCTTTTTCTCTCCCTACAATTGTTTATAATATTTTTACACTCTCTCTCCTAATAACCATCCTAAATGGTTAATGGCTGGGTATACTCTTAGGTACAATTTAGCTTTTAAATCTGCAACTTATGCTAATTTCACTACCATTGTCAAGACCCACCCATAAGTAACTACTGAATGAAAAAAAACACAACATTTCCTGTAGTGGGAAGGCCATAGACACCCTAACCTACCCACTAGATCCACCTGGTTGACCTAAAGTAAAAGTAAGCAAATTGGTTACAATTAACAAAAGTAAAAAAACATAGTAGAAGCTACTTACTTGTTCACTAAGTTTCTCAATCTCCTTGGCATAATAATCAATTGCATCCTGACGAGTGCCCCAAAGACCACAAAAACCTGTCTATAAAGAGCAGAACTCAGAATGTTCTTACAATTTAAGTGGAATTACTAGATTAAGAAAATGAGAAGGTAAAGGGGAGCAACTAGAATGAGAAACATTAACACAAGCTACCACATGTCCTACATATGCATACCAAACACCCCATCCTTATTTTTTTAAGGCGATCATCTCAGCTTTTGGGGCTATCACAAAGTCCATAAGAAATTGAGGTCTGTTCTTGAGACATTAACATGGATGATATGTAAGCTATTGGTTGGTTTTCTCATTATCTCATTACACAATCCAAGTGTGTATAATCTGTGTGTGTATATATATATATTACTCATAAATATGATAAAAACATACTCCGGCAAAATTTGATACCTACAAGATGCTCAAAAAATAATGTTCCACCCATGCTAAAAAGAGGGAGAGTACCTTAATAGTGGGTTTTTTGGAAGGTTTTCTCTCATACTTATTTTGATAGTAGGTTAGGTAGTTCTCCATAGACTTTTTCTTATCGACCAATTTTGCTAGTTTATTGGCATTGTACACAACCTGTAAAATTAGCACAGGAACAGAAAGTGAATAACAACATAGATTGACATAAGATAACAGTTGGGATTTCACATGTTTTACTAAATATTGTAAAAATCAAGCTTAAAATTTTATAAGGATTACTTTACTGCTTTTTATATTTGGGAGTTAGGTCATAATTTTAAACTACATTATGACCAAGCTGTTTACCACCGTTTAAACCAAGAGTTTCCAAAATTTAACAGTGTGTTTGGATAAAGAAAGGGGAAGGAAAAGAAGGGGAGGTATGGGAGGGGGAGGGGAGGGGAGGGAAGGGAAGGGAAAGGAAGGGGAGAGAAGGGAAGAATGATGAGTTTTCCTTTCAAATCTCTCCATTGTTGTGGAGATCAATTTCTTACATTTTAAATTCCCTTCCCTTCCTTTCCCTCCATCTCCTTCAATCCAAACACATTGTAAAAGTAATGAGATATTCTAAATTAAGGGATCTCCATCAAACACAAGTTAGGTATGAGTAAGATGAAACAGAGACACCTGACACGAATGAAGATATTAAAATATGCACAGGGTTTAAATTTCAGATGGTGGCGAAACAATTGTTTACAACCACAAGCTGATCAGTCTACAAAACCCACTAAGGCTACTTGTACAAAGTCTGCCACTGATACTAGACCTAAAACAGATAACATTTCATTCCAACCTAATGGCCAAATATTTGTAGACATATTTACTGCCTAATGAATTACTCATGTAAAATCCAGTAACTCTAAACCAATACATCACTACAGATATACCGAAAGTCGCGGAAACATATTTCGGCATATTTTTGAACTGGAAAAATACTTAGTACTGATATATAAAAAAAATAATAATAATAATTAGGAAAACTATACCTGATGTAAGAGGTAATGGTCCGGATGATTCACATAAAAGAAATGTTCAACATGCTCACTAACAGATTCATCAGGATCTGGTGGAACATTTCTCAGAAGAACCTGAAAAAGGTATCAATTTGTCAAATTAATGTTGAAGCAGATTCTAGCTGTCACCGACCCCTGTTTTAATATAACATCTTCATGTACATGAAAAAAGTACGCGAACGTAGAAGAGCACACAGTAAAAATATGTGTGCCAGTGTGGTACAGCGTACACATACAAGTGGTGCACACACACACTCACATACACAGTTGGTATCCATAAAATAAAATTAATTCAAGAAGACTGCATTGTGGCACAAAACACAGCTTAATCTTCTGAGTTCTGACTATTGTGATGCTAAAGGAAATCAAGGAGATATTCAAGGTTCATTTACCAAAGTATAAATCATACGGAGTATTAAAAAATAAAAAAACAGATACACATATTAATTCCCCCCCCCCCCACACACACACACACACTAGTCAGATGGGTGGGGGGGGGGGGGTTGCGCGCTAAAACTCTGAATTTCCATATTTACATACCACAGGCTGAGCTATTCAGGACCTTGCCTAAACAAACCACGTAAAACCAGCCAACTAGCCCTCTCTACACATAGGTCAAATAAGAAAATGAACCAGCACAAACAGTCCTATTTTGAAGGCTTATTGAAATAAAGGGTACCAACCATTTTTTAAATACAAAACATTCAGTCATAAAGTATTATTAGAAAAAATTATCAGTAAAAATGCTTACAGTAAATTGGTCTGGACGTCGATCTGAAGATGCGATAAATTGCAACCTCAGGGTCATTATTATTTTGTACTCTCTATATAGCATGTAACAAATCCAAAATGTGGAAATATACGCCACGCCAATATGAGCCCAGAATCTGTAATTAAAAAATAAAATAAAATTGTGCAATATGTCAGGTCTGCTTTGCTTGAAAGTGTTATAGACAACAACCATGTGTCAGCAAAATTTGTATCCTAATCAGAATGATGAGTGAATCTCAGAAAGTCGTTGAAATGTCCACCAGCCTGTATAAGCCACCCTAAATCATCTTGAGGGTTATTCATTGTAATTAACAGAATGCCTAATATACTCCCTTATATGTTTATTCAGAACTATTAACAATAGATATCATAGTGAAAGATGGTTCTGAAATAAATTTTATTATATGTTCATAACCTAATCATACGAAAAGAAAACACCACAGTTTTTCACTATCAGATGTGCTGCAGATTGTCAACAGATTTAATGACAAGTCAGAATATCTAATTGTTGTATTTCCAAACTTGTAGTCAGGTAACCCTGCATCTAGATTGAAAAAGGACAGAGAGAAGACAAGCGCCATACAAACTTGTCAATAGATCATTATGTCAATAGATAAAAACAAGCCAACAATAGAGACTAATCCTCTACAAAAGGTATAAGATGACTCACCTATTTGATCCCCATGGAATGTTTGATATTGACAATTTGTCAATATTGCTGAAAGTCAAATCATGAGCACCTTCCAACATTTTTCCGGTCCAATTAACAGGTATCAGAACAGCAAATGCTACTACCGCAATAGGAACAAAGATTTTCAAGCTGCAGAGCAACGTTTTCAACATTAGATCAGCAGAAGAGATACCAAGTTAGTCATTACTATCAAACAAGTATCAAACCAATATTCATAAATCTATACATGCATTTCAAGAATCAATAGTACAGATGACAGTAATTACCATACCCAATGTGTAAGTTAAGAATGCAAAAGAGCAAGCAAAGAATGAGGAAATCCCCAAGAGTACTTGCCTGTAATGACTACTGAGCAAGAAAAAATAACAGCAAAAATAACAAAAATGCACGCACATACATACTAGTTGGTATCCACCTTGCACAGAGTCTCAAGAGAAGGGGGAGGGGGGGGGGGGAGGGTGAAGGGGCTAGTATATCTTTTAAAATTTAATGGTAAATGAATATTATGAAAAGGTTGTAATAGCAATCTCAAGCACTTGCATACTTATTTACACGGCCTATTATATGTTTGCATAGTGTTATGAACCTTATGATTTAGCTGTTTATAGTTACATTAAAATAAATAAATATATATATATGAATGAATAGAATCTGGAAAAGATATACTTCGTATGTAGTTAGTGCAATAAATCATGTCAACATTTTTCAAGGTTCAAACTACCAGCGACAGCTTCCATTTTTTTAAGTTAAAGGCCAGAAGTTACAGAATCACTTCTACACTGGTTATAACACTAAAATTGATGTAGGTATAAGTACATCAAATAAAAAACTCACCCGAGAAGGTAAATTCGAATATAAGCCACAGAATCAAGTCCAGCATGCTCAATAAGCTCAGGTTCTGGCATTCTCAATGCCTCTGGCATCCAGTTTAGAAACCGCAAATACATTCTAAAGTCCAAGTTAACAATCTTGTTCACACCCTTAGAATGCGGTGGACTTGCTCTGATTCCTTTTAGATACCATTTTGGAAAGTACACTCTATCATTAATAGGTTGAAGCCTGAATATGGCAAAGGCTATGAGGAATATTAGTGCTGTAAGAAGGTTTACTGCAGCCGAAACACCAATATCTTGAAGGTCGGCCATTCTTCAAAGATAATGAAAACCTGCAACTGTGAGGGAGTTAGATAAACAGCAATGAGATTAGTATTAAAAAAAAAAAAAAAGGAGTATGCCTCTTAAATCAAATAAAAAGTGTCATATTTTAAGCCCTGTCAACTAACATCTCATCACTACTCAGCTAAGCATTATGGTAGACTTCTTTGTATAACTAACAAACTAGCCGATATCTATATTTTTTATTTTATTTTTATTTATTTTTTTTTTAACTGAAGTTTGTCATACAATTCAACGAATAAGGAACAGGCACTTGTGTGTCAACTTGCAAATTACACATGAATTAAAAATCACTAATCAAGTACATGAGAGCCAAGCTATAGTGTCTGTAATCCGCAGTTGGGTGCTTGATTTAAAAGGATTACCAGGTAGCCATACTTAGCTATAAACTAAACTAATGTTACATATCAAATGATAGCATATCACATTGACCTCTGTCATCAAATGAAAAAGAAAAAAAGTTACATACAGCTCGATAGCCCATACTTAGCAATGTTCAAAAGCATATGACATTGACCTTGGTTGTCAAATGAAAAAGAAAAAGAAAAAAAAAAAAAAACAGTTTTGGTTGTTGCAAACTCATATTCTGCTGTCATCAGGGCATTTACACAAGTTTCACACAAAATCCATCTGCCATTTTACCTCCTTTCCCCAAATAATACTTCAGTAACAAACGGACAACATCGAAAAAATTCCAAATAATGAATGGCTTAGTCTATAATACACAATGCAAGTAATTCAATACACAACAACAATTTTCATGCCTTTCTTTACCATTTCCCAGGTTAGACAAAATTACATACAAGTATTAAAACAATTTGCATAAAAAAAAAAAAAAAAAAAAAAAAAAAAAAGCATCAGTGTTAACTACTTTGGATTAAAATCATTATTTAAGAATACATTCCTATGTCCATGATAAAGTCAAGAATCGTATAGTCGTGCGTTAAATCCGTAGTTATCAAGTAAAGAACTCAAAGTCAATAATCTACAGAGAACATCAGGCAACACACTTACCCCTTAGGATATCCTTGCACGTTTATTATTACTCTTACGCCTTAGGGTTGAAAATTCAACACAAACCGAAACGGGTGTCTACTACTATGGTAATTCTTCTAAGAAATCATTATGTAATACTTTGGACGTAACATCATGCTAATAACAAATGGATTGTTGATGGCAACTAGCTTAGTTCGCAAATCTATTGCTAATAAAAATATTTAAAAAAAAATAAAAAATTGATTTCATTACTGAAAAATATGTGTCAAAAATTAAAAGAACGAGAGTCAGAGAGAGCTTACACAAGTAAAATTCAGTTATTCAAGCGCAACAAAATATAAAAGTCAAAAACCTCAGATTGAGAAATCACCCAAAACTTTCTAAAATTAGAAAGTGAACTACATCAAAAACCTAGGCAAAAATGGTGATCGTAACACCAAAAATATATGAAAAAAATAAAATTAAATAAAAATTTAGACACCCAGTTTGAGAAATCAACAACAATACAACATGAATTTCCCAAAAATTGATAAACGCAATAGAAGCAATTTGCATTTAATTTTATTGAAGCATAAAACTAAAGAATAACCCTACATTATATAATCACAAAAAAAAAAAAAAAAAAAAAAAAAAAAGTAGGATTTGTGAATGATAAAGAATTAAGAACGCCATTCATTGAATAAAGTAATTAAAAACATATAAATATTATACAGTATAAAGAAAAATCACCATCAAAAAAATACAAAATCATCTGAACTAAAATAACCACTATTTCATAAATTCATACCCAAAATAATGAATAAAATTGTTATTTTTCTTTAAATTTATTCATTGACATTAAAAAAAAATGAACAAAAAAACAGAACCGAGAATAATGAAAATATACCTGGAATATAATGTTAATGATAAAAAAAGAATGAAATTGAAGAATAGAGTCTAGATTCAGCAGAAGTGTGGTGTTGAGGGAAGTGTTATGTAATGTGAAATTATAATGAAAATGTGAAAATCCAATTAGATGATGAATGTGTTTGTTTAAGTGCGAAGGAAAAGGGTATCTGCCAAAACTGCGTATAAACCGAGTATGGAAGGCTGTGTCATGTGTTTATGTTGATGTTACCGTTGTTGCAAATATTAATGTTAGTTGAGGAGGCCCATATATTTTACCGTTTTTAAAGTTTTTGAGTTTTTTAATGGTTGTTGGGCCCATTTCTAAGATTTCATGAACACGAAACCTTAATATAATAATGATATACTTAAAGTGTAGTCGATTAGGGGTGAAAGTGATATGGACAAAAACCGAAAACCGAACCAAACCAAACCGAATTAGAAATTCGGTTTGGTTTTTTTCGGTTTTCGGTTTGGATCGGTTTCAAAAAATTGAAACCGAAATATTTCGGTTTGGATTCGGTTTGGGGCTTTCAAAAACCGAAAACCGAAATCCAAACCGAAGTTTTAAAGCCCAAAGATTCTCAGCCCATATATCCGGATATCCCCTACATATATAAAGCAAAACCCTAATTTTTTACTTCCCTTCTTTCACTCTTCTCAGTTAGTCAGTTCTCATTTCTGCGGCCTTCCACTATTCCTCATCAAAACCCTTATCCTCCATTCCTCTCTCAACACCTCACTCACTCCGGCCACCTCCTCACTAACTCCGACAACTACCTTCCTCAGTACGTATCTCACAACCACCTTCATCAGTTCGACAGTTCGTGTTTGTGATACCTCGATCTAGTCACGATTTCTAAAAGCAGCTTGTGTTCCGGTGTTTGTCATCACCACGATACCACCTTCCTCAGTCCGGTCACCACCTCCATCACTCCTTTAGTCACGATTTGTCACCTTATTCCACCGCTATTCGTGTTTGTCGCCGCTTGTGTTCATCGTCGCTCATCAATCACCACCACCATAAATTTTCTGGGTTATCCTTGATTTTTTTAATTATCCTTTATATAATCTATAGTTGTAGATGTTAGTCTTGTAATCAATACAATTTATAAAATTATTATAGTTGTGTTAGTGTATTACTTCTTTTTATTATTATTATTTTTTTAGATCTATTCATTGTAAATTTGACTGTTTTTTTAAAAAAATATTTTTCTTCAACAATCTGGAAAAATCCCCTTAAAAGTTCGATTTTCGGTTTGGAACCGAATTAGGTTTTTAAATTTCGGTTTGGATTGGATCGGTTTCAAATCTAGTTCGGTTTGGATTCGGTTTGAAAATTTCAAAACCGAATTAATTCGGTTTGGATTCGGTTTGGTTCAAAATCCAAACCGAATACCGAACTTTCACCCCTATAGTCGATTAGTATTAGACTATTAGGTACTTCCTTACTTGTTGAGGATTATGATCATAAAAAAGCTATTGATTATTACTTAATGCGTAAAATACGCGTGTGACATCAAAGCTCAAAATTAGTCAAGATAATTAAAAAAAAAAAGAAACTAATTAATTACTACTATGGAATAATACATTAATACTATGACGCACATTAGGGATGACAATATTAAATAGAACGGACATTCGTTAATCTGATCCACCCATTTTAAATAAATCGATGAAAGCTATTGCGATAGCCCAGCGGGTTATATTTTCGGCTACTCTGGACCAACGCAGATCTGTCCTCGAAATTCTCAATCCGAATTAAATGGATGCAAAGCGAGTGACGGATGAAATGGTTGATGAATCAGATCAAATGTGGATGGTACTCTAGTTCACCCGCTACTAGGAATGTCATGGGTGGTGGGGCGGGGATGGGATAACAACCATACCCGCCATGGGTAATGGGGTGGGGGTGGATTTTAGGTTGTACCCGCCTATCCCTGTCCCGCCCCAGCCGTCCCAATTCATATTCGTCCCGCCCCCACTTCGTACCCGCCTAATATCCACATCCATATGATTTAAAGAAAAAAAATTATATACTTTTATACTATTTTATAAAAAAATAAAAAAAAATAAAAAAAAGTTTATGTAAAAGTAATGTAGTAGAGTATATCAAGAAGTAATTTATAATAGACTTATATTATAAAAAAAAATAAAAATAACTAAATAAAATAAAAAAAATAACAACGATTTTTTTTAAGGGAAATGTTCCGTGTACCCCTAAGGTTTTAAAAGATGCACTGTGCACCCCTGAAAACTTTCAAATGCACTGTGTGTCCCTAATGTTTGTAAAAAAAAAAAACTGCATCTAATACCCCTAGGCTCATAACAAATGTTAATTTTGTTTAATTGAGACCCCCTAAGCATCAAATTCTATTAAATTATTACAGTGTAATGCTACTAACTGTTACTGGTAAACCATTTAATTATCAAGTAAACTTAACTAATAAATCAAATTCTAACGACCAAAAGTTTAGGGTTTGGAATGATTGATGAAGTTCAAATTTTGATGTAATTTTTGCTTTTAGGCGGTTTTACTGCATAAATATAAAACACTAAAAGTGAGTCAGTGTGTGGGCATGATTTTAGTTTGATACGTCAATGATATGTGTATTTGTTAGACAGTCAGGGTATTTGATGCATTATTACAAACCTCAGGGGTGCACGGTATATTTGAATGTTTTCAAGGGTAAACAGTGCATTTTTTAAAACCTCAGGGGTACACGGAACAATTTCCTTTTTTTAATTATAATCAATATAATTTGTATCTGGGAGACGGGGATTAGACGGGTTTTAGGTGGGTTAGGGATGGTTTTGAAATTGTACCCATTAAGATGGGGATGGGGATGAATATTGGATCCATTGCAGGGTTGGAGGTGGGGATGGAGATGAGAATGTTAAGCAGGGATGAGGATGGGAAGGCTAACATCCGACCCATCTCGCCCCATTGACATACGTTTAGAATGTCACATATCTCACAAAGAATATCCCATTAAAGCTGATGTTGGAGGGAATACTTCAATCAATAAATCAAAGTCAAAGAAAGAAACAGCTAAAAGGAAGAGGATGAAAGATGGATCCGGAGTCTAGGAACACTATAACAAGGAGGAAACATGTGCTGGGATTAAAGCGGATACATATACTACAAGATGCCTAGGGGTTGTTTTCAGGCCCCAGTGATAGAGGAACAAGTTCTTTTTTTTTTTTTTTTTTTTTTTTTTTTTTTTTTTTGTTTAGTCTTGATTTATTTTAAAAAAATGCTTAATAAAAAATAGGAATTAGTGAATGAATATGAATGCTCTATTGTAGACTACCTCCATAATTCTGTATAATTTTCTACACTAAATAATTTCATCAAAACCAATAATTTTCTATGCATTAAATTCCTTTATGATAAATTTTTTTTAATGTTGTTGAGCTTTTTTTTATTTTCAAAGATTTTCATAATATGGTATACTTTTTTTTTTAAGAACTTATTATAGTATACTTAGTTTAGGAAAAATTAAAACTAATAATCCGATATTTCACCGGCTGCTCAAAACAATCTAAAAATAATCCCACCTTTGATATCAATCTTCCCAAACTAAGCCATGACCGATTTTGTAAGGATGGTAACAGGTTGAAATAGGTAGCTTGCCACGTGTCAATATATTATTAGTCTAATTATTAAAAAAAACTTAAAAAATAAAAAATAAAAAATAAAAACCTCTTCCTCTTCCTCTTCTTCCCCCCACGTCTTCCCTTCCTCTTCCTCTTCTTCCCCCTCGTCTTCCCTTCCTCTTCATTGGCAGCCCACCATCCCAGCCACCCACTGCTGCTTTGTCCAGGCAACGCACCACCAATAATGCTTGAGCAATCTCATTACTCAACCCACAAAAAAAAAAAAAAATCATATCATATTTGCTTATTACAGTAGCATCTATCCACTATATTTGGGATTTATATGGTGGGTAGGTAAAGAGGAGAATTTGATCTAATCATGAATAACAATAACAAAATCCCACAAATCCCAACGAATCAAGAAACAACAATTCAATCTAACCCTCAAATCCCACAAACTAAACGCCCCCAACAAAATTAAGGTTCCAACAACACAATTTTGATTGTTGTCAAACCAAATAATCATAATTTATCTCAAATCAAAGAACATTTTAAAACCCAAAAATCGATTAATTTGAATCAACTCATGACAGCCTCAATAATCAATTAATTTGTTTATGTATGTACATATTTGTATGTAGTACTTTTTTGGTGTTGAATATGGTGAATTGTGATTATAACAGAGCCAATCATCAAAGATTTCGAGCAGGTAAAAAAATTAAAAAAAAAAAAAGGAAAAAACAAAGAAAAGGTGGGAGAAAGAGAGCCATCTTGTCAAAATTATTAAGCTCTTTGAAATTGTGATAGGATAGTGATTGTGATGGAGCGGAAATTATGGTGTATTGGTGATCGTGACGGGGTGGTAATTACGGTGGTTGTGACAGTGGAAGTATGGTGGTAAGTATGGCACGACACTTGTTTACTATTTCCTCGGAGAGACACAAGTTCTTCGCGTCCTTGATCATTTCATCTAAAACCGCTTTCTCTTGGCTGCTCAATTCGACACTCGCTTCCTCCTCGGGCTGGGTTGTTGTTGATGCCATTTTTTCTTGTTTATCTTCTATCAGTTTGAATATATGTCACACAGTACAATTTGAATGCATGCATCATGCATACATTCATATTTACCAAGTTAGTTTTAAATTTAAGGTAACAAACTTAAATATAAAGACTTTTAAACATATACAGCAAACTATGCTCATCACTTTTCGAAATACATACATTCAATAACCATTAGGACAACAAGTCAACAATTGTAATCAATGTAGGATCTTACGAGTTTTGTTATAACGGATGTTTGCAATGAAACGATTTGGGAACTCACCCTCTAATACAAAAAAAAAAAAAAAATAGCAAAATACATTAATAAATAGACAATAATCCTCTTGATGATTTTGGATAGTGGAAGTATGATATTTTTTAGGGAAACGATGGTGTTGGTGGCAGTGAAGTGATAGTTGTGCAGAGGAGAGAGGGTTGTGGCTTGTGAGGGGAGGAGAGAGATTTAGGGGGTAATTTTATTTTTTTTTAACCTATTAAACAAGTTGTAGGTCAAAAGGCCTGTTTTGAGAAGATTGACATTAAAAGTGGGATTATTTCCAGATTATTCAAAGGTGGGATTGTTTTGAGCAGATTGGTGAAAGGTGGGATTATTAATTTCAATTTTTCCTTTATTTTATACAAATACTATATATGATACGAAGTATACTGTAATTTTAAAATTTTGTTTTTTAAAAAG